CTTGCAGTCATTGAAAAGACAAAGTCATAATGCTGAGATTAATCAATGGTGCAGCTGTGCCGTTTGGGGAGCTGCAGTATAAGGCCAGCAGCTTTTATTCTGCATGCACCGGACAACATAGACGGGTTGCAATGCTGGGAGACCTCATTTATGCACGCCGCATTATTAGCAGGTCTGCTTATTATGTTTTGTTCCTTTTTTGTCTAACTGACCCAATCATAATCGGGCCTGATTATTGTCATGTAAAACGAGGCCTCATTATAGGCAGGTCTTATCCGATCAGTCCGTCTGACTTGATCACGGCTAAACCCAAAACTGAGAGCGGAAGCTTTTGTCCCCGCCCGTCATCAGCATATAGAGTACGACTGGCATCCGCTGATTCACCCGGTGTTCCTGCTTGGCTGGCGGTTACAGACCTACGAGCAGTGCCCAGCTTCAGTGGATCTCGGTTGTAGATGGTATTGATGGGACTGAAATCCTCAGCGTTCTGGCTCAGCAGCTTTGGGAACACAATGTGTCTTTCGTACCTGTTGGGATGACCGTCGAGACATTAACAAAATATCTAGTCCTTAACATAGGTGACATCAGCGGTTCTCCCGCAAAAAGTAAAGTATCACAATGAAAAACATCCGTCCTGATGATTTTATGTTCAAAAGACGGCATGGTCGCTTACCTGACCTCCCAGTATGTCTATTACCAAGGATAATTCAGTTATCGATCATGCCTTTCCATGGAACTCGTTGGACAGCGACGCCTCTTCGTCAGTGCGACACCAGTGCACGTCTCTATGGTGTCGACGCACCAGGCTCGCTCACCGGTATACATCCTCATAGGTGGTGCCGTACACGAAGCATCCGAACAGACTGGCATGGGCGTGCAGGTCGAGCACGATCTCCAGCCCGTTGCTCTGCCGGCGCAGGCGCAGCGCAGTCAGACCTCGTCTGAATCAAGGCCCAGTCCACAGGGCGCTGGTGCTGACACAGACGAGAGCCGGGGAAGCGACCGGAGAACGAGCAAACAAAACGCCGAAGATCTACCGACCTTGTCCGCATCGAGCGAGAGCAGCAGCTTCTTGGCAGCGTCGATGGTTGGATGTCCCCACTGCGAGGGCTCTTGCCAGGTGCGATTCAGATCAGCACCGAGCACAGAGCACCTGCAGTCAGCGGAACTCAGATCAGCGCCGGGCACCTGCAGTCAGTGGAACTCAGATCAGCGCCGGGCACCTGCAGTCAGTGGAACTCAGATCAGCACGCCGAGCACCTGCAGTCAGCGGAACTCAGATCAGCGCCGGGCACCTGCAGTCAGTGGAACTCAGGTCAGCTCTGACTAGCAGCAGCCAAAAAGATTTACACCATCGCACCAGAGTACTTCTTGAATTGGCCATCGCCTGGGTAAATATATACCCTTACTTAGCGCTGGCTGTACCCACGATTTTCTTCGCCGCATTATACACACGGCAACTACGTCCAGCACAGGCTGCGTGCTGTTAGTCTCGTGTATGACATCACTGTTTACTTAAGTAAGTCATTTGGATGTGACTGAAGTTATTACATTTGATTCCAAATTACAGAAGTTAAAATGTGATTGATTTTCACATCAGGGTTAGGAATTGATAGCTACAGAAATATGATAACTGTCCCGTTTCCACGTCGTAGCCTGCGGTTTGGGCACTGGAAAAGCGTTCAACAAACCTTACCTGTGGTTTCCTAGAAATACTCCATCAGGATTCAGCATTGGAATTATTTTGATGATTACATACTTTCTCAGCTCAGTGGCAACAGGATGGTCGCCAACCAGCAAATCAATTAGTCCTGCAAGGCAAATATGCTCAGTTATTGCTGGTTGATCAGTAGCATCCCTGCTTCACTGCCAGCCATTGACGGCCTATCGGTGGGAGGAGGGTCATCGTTACCAGATTTAACATTGCATCATGAAGGGCAACATTTTTCGCAGGTGGCGTCTGGTAACTACCACCAGAACACCAACCTGCACTATCAAGGAGGATGGTGTCTCTTGTGGAAGGCACCTAGCCATCACCACCAAAACAGTACTGTGCACTATAAAGGAGGACGATGCTTTTCCTGTTTGACACCTAGCCATCACCATTGCAACATTACCCTGCACTATGAAGGAGGACGATGTTTTTCCCTGTTGACACCTAGCCATCACCATTACAACATCACCCTGCACTATGAAGGAGGACGATGTTTTTCCTTGTTGACACCTAGCCATCACCATTACAACATCACCCTGCACTATGAAGGAGGACGATGCTTTTCCGGGATGATGCTCAGTTATTACCGCCACAACATTACCGTGTACTATGAAAGAGGACGGCGTCTCTCGGTTGGCATCTGGTCATTACCGAAACAACATTACTCTACACTATGAAGGAAGACGATGCTTTTCTGGGTTGATACCTAGCCATTACTGACACAACATTACCCTGTACTATGAAAGAGGACGGTGTCTCTCCCGGTTGGCATTTGGTCGTTACTGTCACAATATTACCCTGCACTATGAAGGAGGACGGCGTCTCTCCCGGTTGGCATTTGGTCGTTACCGCCACAATATTACCCTGCACTATGAAGGAGGACGGCGTCTCTCCCGGTTGGCATCTGGTCGTTACTGTCACAATATTACCCTGCACTATGAAGTAGGGACGGCGTCTCTCCCGGTTGGCATCTGGTCGTTACCGCCACAATTTACCCCTGCACTATGAAGGAGGACGGCGTCTCTCCCGGTTGGCCATTTGGTCGTTACCGCCACAAATTACCCTCTGCCACTATGAAGGAGGACGGCGCTCTCTCCCGGTTGGCATCTGGTCGTTTACTGTCACAATATTACCCTGCACTATGAAGGAGGCCGGCGTCTCTCCCGGTTGGCATCTGGTCGTTACTGTCACAATATTACCCTGCACTATGAAGTGAGGACGGCGTCTCTCCCGGTTGGCCTCTGGTCGTTACTGTCACAATATTACCATGCCCCACTATGAAGGAGGACGGCGTATCTCCCGGTTGGCATCTGGTCGTTACTGTCACAATATTACCCTGCACTATGAAGGAGGACGGCGTCTCTCCCGGTTGGCATCTGGTCGTTACTGTCACAATATTACCCTGCACTATGAAGGAGGACGGCGTCTCTCCCGGTTGGCATCTGGTCGTTACTGTCACAATATTACCCTGCACTATGAAGGAGGACGGCGTCTCTCCCGGTTGGCATCTGGTCGTTACTGTCACAATATTACCCTGCACTATGAAGGAGGACGGCGTCTCTCCCGGTTGGCATCTGGTCGTTACCGCCACAATATTACCCTGCACTATGAAGGAGGACGGCGTCTCTCCCGGTTGGCATCTGGTCGTTACTGTCACAATATTACCCTGCACTATGAAGGAGGACGGCGTCTCTCCCGGTTGGCATCTGGTCGTTACTGTCACAATATTACCCTGCACTATGAAGGAGGACGGCGTCTCTCCCGGTTGGCATTTGGTCGTTACTGTCACAATATTACCCTGCACTATGAAGGAGGACGGCGTCTCTCCCGGTTGGCATCTGGTCGTTACTGTCACAATATTACCCTGCACTATGAAGGAGGACGGCGTCTCTCCCGGTTGGCATCTGGTCGTTACTGTCACAATATTACCCTGTACTATGAAGGAGGACGGCGTCTCTCCCGGTTGGCATCTGGTCGTTACTGTCACAATATTACCCTGCACTATGAAGGAGGACGGCGTCTCTCCCGGTTGGCATTTGGTCGTGTACTGTCACAATATTACCCTGCACTATGAAGGAGGACGGCGTCTCTCCCGGTTGGCATCTGGTCGTTACTGTCACAATATTACCCTGTACTATGAAGGAGGACGGCGTCTCTCCCGGTTGGCATTTGGTCGTTACTGTCACAATATTACCCTGTACTATGAAGGAGGACGGCGTCTCTCCCGGTTGGCATATGGTCGTTACTGTCACATATTACCCTGTACTATGAAGGAGGACGGCGTCTCTCCCGGTTGGCATCTGGTCGTTACTGTCACAATATTACCCTGTACTATGAAGGAGGACGGCGTCTCTCCCGGTTGGCATCTGGTCGTTACTGTCACAATATTACCCTGTACTATGAAGGAGGACGGCGTCTCTCCCGGTTGGCATTTGGTCGTTACTGTCACAATATTACCCTGCACTATGAAGGAGGACGGCGTCTCTCCCGGGTGACACCTAGCCATCACCACCACCGTCTTGGTAGGTTTCGAAGCTCCCGGTGGTGTGGTATGCCCCAGTGTCAGAATGTCGCAGAGACGCTCTTGCTGTAAAGGAAATTTATGTCACGCTAGTGCGCAACGAAAGGTTGCTTGACTACCATGAGCGTTCTCATATCAGATTAACAACAGCGAGCATGCACCGTGATTGGAATGTCAATCGATATGTAAATATATATATATATATATATATATATTTATTTACGGAGTACTTATGCATAGTATTAAGCGGCTACATCAGTGTTAGTGTGGTCATAACCACTCACAATGCATTTTTATAGTTAGTCGGTCATCTAAAATTTGAGGATGTTCGGGGAATGCACAGCGGAGATTTTAAGCTGAACGCAGGGCAGGCGATAAACAAGCTTGAGGAGTAGTCAGCATTACGAATCGACGAACGATGACGTGGCCGAGGACTAAAGGAGCACATGACAGCCGAAAGAGGAACAAAACACGCCCCGGACCGTGACTGAAGACGGAATGCACAAGTTTGCTTCTAAACGCTTTTGCCTTTTTATAGTTCTACGCATCTGATCATTCGTCTGGTGCACGTGCATTGCACGTGCATTGCACGTGCAGTAATAAGCCCTGGACCTATTACGGTACAATTTATAAAACACTACTTGTTTGGGGGAATGCACGGCAGCATGACTGGTGGTTAAGATGACACAAACCCGTCAACGGTGTGGCTGGTGCGCAGGGCTGGGTCGCTAAAGCTACACAATGCGTGGCTGCCCTCGGTCTCTCGACCAGCCTCGCCCATATGTATTTGCTGAATGACACTTCGGAGCACAAAGCTGTGGGAGCACGTTCGCAATAGCCGTCTGACGGCTGCTTCTCACCACAGTGTTTGCCAGGAGCTCCCTGCGGACGTGCGACAACTTAAGCCCCTCCACCTCGGTCAGGTACATCTGCAGGCGCGAATACGAGTAGGGGAAGCAGATGCTGAACTGGTACACGTCCTCCTCCCGGTCAAACGCGAAGGCGAACGACAGGATGAAGTTGTTCCTGTGCTCCGGGGAGCGGTGGTAGTAGACGTGCTTCTTAGACATCCGCTGCCTGCCGGACAGGCAACACTGTCACATGTGGCGACCATATGGCGTGTAGCAGAGCTACAGAGCTCTCAAGCTACAAACCTACAAAATTCGCAAGCACGGGGTTGTCGGCGTCGTAGAGCGTGACGGACAGAGCACCGCCAAGCCCCATGGCATCATGGCAAACAACGTGACAGGTCGTGGAGTTATCGAGGTTGTTATCATGAGGAATCGGCGCGTGCTGTGACGCGGCTCCATTCATCAGCAGCCTGGTACTGAGCTACGGGGCTGGGTGTTGACATGAATACAGAACTTTCTAAAAGGCCCCTGGATGCAGGAGGGTTAATGAGGACTGACGACAGTGATTACCAGGCTTTCCAAATGACGCTAGAAACCGGCAGAACGCTTCGCATGACGTGCGACGGGCCCGGTGCGTCGCACGAGCAGCTCCGATCGCATACACGTGTGTCTTGGTGTTAAGCGCACTCGTTAATCGCATGGCGTGCGACGAACCCGGTTTGTCACATGCGCAGCTCCGATCGCATACCACGTGTGTCTTGGTGTTAAGCGCACTCGTTAAGCTAGGGGGGGGGGAGGGTCGTTCACACCACTGCACTGAAATGCGTCTGCTATTCATCACAGCCTAACTGGTTTCACGCAAAGACCTTGGATCGTTGAGGGTCTTTAATCATTGGCAAGGATTCCATACAGGTGCACTATTTTTCGGAGGATACTGTGAATTTAGTGTTCGGTGGGCAGCATGCATACCAATCTGCACCACGCTTGACGGACTTTGCTGACGACGATGTGAAGTACCTTCAGAGCTTATCTATGCTATTATTGTGGCTACTATTGCAAAAAAATGTTGGGCACGAGACGGCGTCAACGGTGACACAAAGTTGACTTTTCCTTCATGTGCTGTGCCTCAGCAGCTGAATTAGATGAGATGTGCCTGGATTGGAGAGGGGGGGGGGGGGGACAACGCCCTTTCAGCTGGATAAATCACCCCCTGCACGCCCATTCTTACCGTCCCGTGCAACAGTCGGCGTAATGTACTGTGGCCTCAACTGACTAGAGAATCTACATTATGACAAAATGATAAAATACTGATGATCGTTAGAAGTTTGCCCAGTGATTATGCTCCTTTCCATAGATTAATATTCAGGCTACTAATCCAGCTACCACGATCAACGTCCCATTGCTTATGATTCGTTGTCTTACCATTTGTTTCTGGAAGTCGATTTAACTAAAGGTGTCATTCCATCACGGAACAGATTCTTCGTCTTGCTGAAGTTCACGATGTTGAAGATAACTCTCTGAAAGTATGCGGGTATCTTCGGCAAAGATCGCACTTTTGACAGCTGGTTTTTGAGAATCAGGTCTTCAGGGACAGGCATGCCTCCCGTCTATCAATTATGTGACTATCGCAAATTGTCACAGCAGCTGACTCACCATATTTTTGACCAGTCAAATAAAGCAACATTTAGCCTGTCTTTACTACTGATAATGGTACCAACCAATGCTTCGTGGGTTTGTTTGAATGCCCACAACAATACAATACTTCTACTACAATTCAAAACCGACAGTTCCGTAATCACCCATGAAAAATGCGAGTAATACGGCGTTTTCAACGTGTGTCGCTTCGTCCCGCCGTTTTCTTGACAGTCCTCCATCCTTACGTTACCTACCTGATCCTGCCGCACATTGTCCACCACGAAGTTGAACCAGATGCGGTAGCGAGGATTGCACACATCTGGCCGTATGAAGAGGTCGTATTCGTACTCACTGATGTAGTCCACGCGACCCAAGTTCCCTGGTGGAGCGGGTAAATGTGCCAGCCTGCTTACATATATATCCCAGGAAAAGAACATCGAGGAAAGACGGCGGGCTGCTCAGGCTCAGGTGATTACTGGGAATACCGCATGGCATGCCGCTCGGTTCTCACATACGAGTAATGACAGCCATCTGTCTGACCTGTGCATGCATAAACAAACAAAAGTGAGAACAAGACTCGACACACTCAACACTGGTCGATTCACCCCACGCGTACCCATTTACTCTTTATGCACGTGGCGGGCCCTATTTTGCCCTGACGGCTACAAGATGCCCTTCGTACCACTGACGGCTGCAGTTGCAGTCTCACCGCCATCCGTTCCATGTCTGACGGTGGGGCGTGTTTCTCAGCTGCGCAGAGCACCGCCCGCTGTTCCCACACCCCACCTGCCAGCGCCGAGCGGAAACTAAACCGGTGGCAAGCGTCGGTCTGTGCGACAGTGTCGCGCGTCACGTGTCTGCGCCAAGCGTCGGCCTGTGCGACAGTGTCGCGCGTCACGTGTCTGCGCCAAGCGCCGGCCCGTGCGACAGTGTCGCGCGTCACGTGTCTGGGTCAAGCGTCTGTCCGCGAGGAAGTGTCACGCGTCGCGTGTCTGGGTCAAGCGTCTGTCCGCGAGAAAGTGTCGCGCGTCACGTGTCTGCGTCAAGCGTCTGTCCGCGAGGAAGTGTCGCGCGTCACGTGTATGCCGACTGCGCTGACCTGTTTCAAACGAGGCGTCGAAGCAGAGGTGACCGCGCTTGGCCTTGCCGGAGTGGCCGGGTGGTCTCATGACTGCCCTGTTGACATTCCCCAGGCCGCCCTCATTGTCGCTGTCGTCCGAGTCTGCAGCAAAGACAACGCATGGAACACAGCCCACCACTGAGTCACGTCAAGGAGTAAAAGACATCAAAGCGCACGGCCAGAAGGCTGGCAGCGTCCCTCGTACGTAGATAACAATCCCGAACGGTGGCTGACGTATCCGACAGCTTCATAGGGAGCTTAATCTAACCTACTGTAAATCAGCTGATTTTGCGTGTCTTCCCTCATCCCGGCATCGTAAACACCCGCCTGTGTGGAGCTTTCTCGAGGGATAGTCTTCGTAGCTGTTGGCATCAAACTGGTTCCTTGTTCGAAATCCACAGTGCATATATGTTGTGGTTTATCATTGTGTGCAGAATTTCGCCTGGCTTAACGACGATGGCATTACCGAGGTGTCCATGGTGGCACCTGACTGCAGTGATTCCTCGAATGGTCTCGTAATATGCACTAATGACTGCTTGGTATGGTCTATTACCAGTACCTCTCGGAACATTGAAGGTCGGTTATTTTCGGCATGATAACTCGTAAGAAACACTGTGTAACTTGATTTTGAGCTATGCTAATTGTGCCAAGGAAGTAATGATTGGACTATATGATGTGTATTGAACCGAAAGATAACTTAACGTGAAACTGGGGCTAGGTAAAGATTCGTCTTGGCTTCCAAGGTCGAATTAAAGCATCTTTATTTTACGCAAAACGTCTTAACCACGCAGATACCAACATCAAGTCCCAATGCAATCTCAGTTGGGAGCGGGCTTGATACGAGGATCACTTTTGAATTTGAATCATACATGGCCAGAGCTTATTCGACATACGACCCCATAGAGGTTTTAATATATGCAAGACGTTCAAGAATCTTAAAATGAGTGAAGGCATATTCGGGGAAGAGCGTAAAAGCATCAAAACGCAAAAAATGAGTTAAAATATAATACGTCACGATGGAATAGCACTCTGACAATTAAACCAAATGCAGTTATTTCTAGTATCCAACCTCACCGGAATGAAAATGTTGCGCACGAAATTCTGAAAATGTTTGGTGACAAAAAACGTCGGTCTTTGGTGCGTACACATTAATTGCAATGAAATAAGGCCCAGGTATAATTCATCTGTATACTTAGCAAGTTATACATTTATGAGGTGCCGAGCGAACTTGAGAGGCTAATGAAACAAGCCGTGTATTATTATCGTGCGCAGTGTGTCACGCGTTCGCCCTGGTAATAGTCACATTCGAAGGGGCCTCGACGTGCTTGGTAATTAAGGTCTATTAGGGTCAATAAGGCATGCATGAGCATATTCACATCATCATGACGTCCGTATCCATGATCAATACAGCACAGACGTTGTGTACGGTGGGCTTTTTTTAGAAAACAAACATTATTTCCAATCAAAGGGAACCTCTCCGTCGCCTGTGCCAATCATCGAGTATGCACTGCGATGGGCGTGTGACTTAATTGCCGTATTGTTTACGAACACGAGACCCTTTCAGCTGTAATGTCTGTAAATACCTGGCATGACGGCTGGGCTACAGCGGCAGCTGGCTTAAATCACACGCCAAAAGGTTCTAAGCTTCCGAGATCCCAGCTGCAGCAAACTTCGCTCAAATACAGGAGCTTCACCACCATGACGGCCACTGGGTGGTATACCCGTCGACTGACCACGGGCCCGCACTCGCCGGCTGGAGCCAAAGCGTGCGGCGAGAGAGGCGGCAGACTCGGGGCAGCGCTCTGGCTGCAGCTGGCGCGCACGCCGTCGCCAGTAGGTACCCACTGGAGTGGCTGGTGCGGCCCGGTACCAACCCCATCCCGCCTCCGCCCTCCCCACAGCGGCGGCGCGGCGGCAGGCCATGTCAGGCGGGGAACGGGGGGGGGGGGGGGGGGAGCGGCGCGTGCCGCAGGCGAGGCATCGGTTTCGCGGGGTCGAACGCGACGGCGCCATCCTTCTAATCGCCCATTGCCCGGGGCGCTGGTCGATCGGCATAATCGGCGCGGCACGTGCTGGTGGCGACGACTCCCCACCCGGCCGGTGGCCTACGTTCCCCCCCCCCCCCCCACACACACACACTGCACCGGCTCGGCAGCGCAGTGTAGCTGCTGAGGCCTACAGCACACACTGATTCCATCGGCAAACTGGTCAACCGTCGAGGTCCAATGCAAATCGCGGCTGGTCGCCGAGTCAGTCGGCTACCGGCTACAGCGCGTCGCAACGAGCTGACGAACTAACCCCGGCTGCCGTTGTCAAAAAAATATGGCATGACAGTTCGACTACAAATCAACACTTCCCTCAACCCGCCACAGAAACGTGGAGATTACGTATGTCCATTAGTTGCGCACATATGTGAGATATTTTGATTGCGACGCCGCTCGGCAGGATTTGGTGGGGGAGGAGTGGGGGGGGGGGGATCCAAATCGTCTGCCATTTAAATGACATTTGCGTTGATTTTCATCCCTTGTCTGTTTTTTGTTTTTCCTTTGTCCTAATTTTTCTTCATAACGTTTCAGTTATGTTTCTGTATAATTCGCATTGTAATTAACACCATCTGCCGAAGCGAGTGTGTTGGTAATATCGTTGATGCCGGGATGATACAAAAGAGACAAGGCGCGTCGCCCCTAAAAGTGTCACTGTTGCATTGTTTTTTGTTTTGTTTTTTTAGCGCCTATCCTTATCGTTTTGTTTTGAGTTTTATTCGGAAACTAGCTCCGACTACTTTTTCTGAAGTACTTTGACTGGACGTCACTGCTGCTTATTTACATAATAAAACTTGCCATGAAGCATGTATCTTTACAAATAAGGAGCGCTTCCTATTCTCAAAACTACTTTAAGTGAGTAAAAGTCCCCGCCTTTAAATGAAGTATTCTACATTTGTATGGGGTTTTGAGTTGAAATAGCTTTTTGAAGACCATTTGGTGCAGTTCACAACCTTGTCCTTCTTAACACCTAAAACCCACTAGTTCTGGGCTATACGCTTGCAAAGATGTGCAGACTTTTTCGTTCAGACTATGTCGATGCAGTTAGGGCAAGTACGACGCCTTAGAAGTGGCATTCAAATCCCGCCGCCCTAAGGCTATGTGGCGTTCAAGGTCAAGAAAAATATTTTTGTCGAGTCGTCCAGATCTGGCGTCTGTGAGCACAATTTTAAAATAAAGTGGACGCCAAATGGCTTTAAGTCAATGTTAAACATGCTGTGTAAGTTTTAACCACAATTGGCTGTTTCGATGTTTGGATTAGAGTCCTTTCTACCGGAATTGATCCTTTCAGGGCTATGGGATGAAGGTGACTGATAACGGTGGGGTAGGACTGTGCGCTTGGGGGACTAGCCGCCGAGCTTGAACCCGCGCAGAGATCCTTAGGAACGTGCGCTGGGCGGCCGGTCGGGGTCCCCCTCCCATTCGTGGCTGACGCATATAGTCTGTCTCGAATAAGCATGGGCGTCGCGAGGATGCAGAATGAGGCAAAAAAGAGGATAAGAGGATCGGATCTTCAATCACGAATCACGTTTTGCGCTGCTTGTTAAAGGAAGTTTTACCTGATTGCTATTCTTTGCAAAAATATGACCCGTAATTGAATAATTTGACAATAGCGAATAGAATAAGAACAAATAGAAACACCGATCGAGCATGTCCATACAAGTAAACATCTTAGACTCAGCAATAGCTATGCAAGAACACCACGAGAAAGAGCCAAAGCACGAGAACACAACGATATTTGGCGCAGCGAACACTTCCAGCACCGACACTGCCATCTCTCGGCGAGTTGAGGTACTTTACGTGAGTGCATGGGTGATATTTTCGCCCGATTCCAGCTGAAGCTCATGCAGATCAATGCCGGAATTAATCCGGCAGGAGTTCAAACTCTGTCCAGAGTGGTTGAGAATATAATACACACTATGTCTTGCACGATGAGCCTATCGGTCACATATATTTCAATATTGAAGCGCAATACATGGGTTATTGTCTCAGTGGTCGCTCATGTAAATTCTCAGAATGAAAATATTTGTTCTTAATATCTATGCTTGGACCATTGTTTAGTTCCGATGGTACTTGAGATTGAGTGTAGTCAATCAGCGGATAGAATTTACCCAACTCTAATTAAGACTTAGCCAAATGTCCCTGCGAAATCGATCACCCTTGACTCAACACAAATTTCATTGGTTTCTCAGTCAACTCCGAGTTCTCCCGGGCGACATACCAAGTTTACCTACGTCACATGGTGACTACCCACCAAACAAGTCGGCTGCTGACCCGCCCGCGCCGCGTCCTGACGGACTCGACCAGCCAGTCCTGGCCGTTGATACACACAGTATTTTGTGAGACCGGATTGATCGACCAACTAATGCACCCCCAGCTGGTCGTGGCTCTTCGCCGCCGCGCTGAAATGACAGTCGTCACAACACTAGCGACATTCGACCAGAGATGTTTCACTGTTTTGCTCTGTGTTTTTTCTCAATCCGAAGATAGAATCTGAACCTTTTGTACGGATTAATTTATAGCATTAGAGCTCGCGATTAATAGTGCTTGCAGCGTGAACCCTGACCCACCCAATCGTCCAATTCCAGGTAGGCACCATCTGGTGGTGAAAGTTTAACGTGCTGCAATGCCCGGCGCGGTAGGTCTGTTCTGCTTTCTAATCTCCCTCGAGTTTTAGCGCGATAGCTGTCACCGGCCACAGGTCATAGCTGTCAAGGACAAATAAGGAGCGCCTGAAGCGACTCGAATCCACCCCACCATGGGTGAGTGGATCGAAAGGCAGGCCGCCTAGCCAACTGAGCTATCGGTCCGGTCAGATCTTTGTTGCGAACCGACTAATGTTGGTGAAATAACGCCGTTTCGTAACTTGAGACAATTTCAGAACACTCTTCATTCACTTTTGCTGTACTCGGTTTCCGTCATCAGTGCCACGCTTTTGTGTTTGAATATCATGGATTCTTCCCCCTTTTCCGCATGCTCGGTGCAGATCCGTCACGCACGCAACCTCATATTGGGGGCATTACAAATTCATATGTGCTGGTGTCATCTGCAAGCCCACTTTTCAGTCGTTTTGGTGGAAACGGCCCGCTCGTGGACTGGGTGGCAGTCAAAGCTCCGAGCTTTCTGGCTTCAGATTACAGGCTACAGTTGTATTAAGGTACACCTGGGCTCATAAGAGGCACTAAAGTGGCGCTCTGCCCACTTACATTCATGAGCAGATAAAATGTGCATGTAGAATATTAGCACGTCGCAACGACAGCACAAAATCAAATCCAGTTTCGTCAAATCCAAACATGAGCCTGATGCTTAGAACGCGAATAATTCGATAACTTGGGTGAGCTTAAATGGTCTCTAGTTGCTCAGATTTAGACAGAGGAAAACTGCGGTTGCATAGCGCAGATTTTTGACCATACGCTTTAAATAGTTTGCAATGAGAAAGAATGATAGCGTGCACAATCGTCCAAAGATATGAAACAATGTAAGACGTAAAAATGATGTTACTGCCCCTGATATCCTTGTACTTTGCCCCTGGGCTCAAATCCTGTGTTTCAGCCTTCGATGACTGCTCATAAAAAGGTCTCGCATACTATGTACCTTCAGTCGTACCGTTGGCGATGCCTGTATGGGAAAAAGGCTTCCTATAATGTTCCCAAGACAGCATTCTACAATATGTGAAACATTTGCTTAATGTTGCGGTAAACTAGGTGACATTTTTGGCATTTCGACACGTTTAACGGTATCTGCCAGAAAGAAGCCCATTCGGCAATGGCTACTAGCCTTTCTCAGTTCCACCTCGTTTCTTGCGGTGCCCGCCTCGCCAGCTCTCAGCTCTCGCGTTGTCTGTAGACATCTGATTGGTGCGGTAGCCATGAAGAAGATGCCGCTCAAAGACACAAAACAGCACGGGGCCAGAAATGACCGCTGGGGATACCGTCGTCCAACATCCCCTCAATAAAAAAACACGAAAGCAGATGGGAGTGGGGGGGGGGGGGCATTTTTAACCCTCGGGTGATACCACCATCCACGCTCGTCCATACGGAGATTTCAACCTCAACACCGATTCTCTGACGCCTGTTCTTAAGCAGGTCTAAAATCCAGGCTTGCTATCCTACTCGATTTCACGAGTTTAGAGCTATCTGTCAGAAGTGCAGCTTCAAGAACGGACGGCTAGCAGAAAGATAATCACATGAACCAGCAAGTGCCGTAGCTCCCTAGACATTCCATCAAAAATCCTGTTGGTGAGAGCTAACCCCTATGGCGGGTCGATGAGATCCCAGCCTCGGCCCGAGCATCGCACCGGTCCGCTCTCGATGGCTGACGGTAACACGGGTTGATCGGACCACACACAAGCCAGGTACCGTGCAGCGGCCCGACCAGTGTCGGACACAAGCCTCATGCAAGTGTGCCCTGAGAGGCCTCTGTTTCAAAGCCTGCACAGCACGCTTGACACGGCGCGGTGCATGACAGCCATCCCCGGAGATAATGATAGTGTCGGACTGGACGCCCGCTGCAAGCTCCACTCGTCGCCTGTAAGGCACCACGTGGTCTATGGCGGGTTTGTGCGTGGCGTAGATCCTGCAGAGCTTGCAATTGAAGCAGGCTGGTTGGTAAAACTGGCGCGCCACTTCCTACCTATCTTAATTGAAGCGGGCT